AGAGGAAAATTCACTGGATTTCCTTTTTCAGCCCTGGCTGCTGCTGATTTGTGGAGTCGGAGAATCTGTGAACATAATTTGATGTGCATCGATTCGTCGACTTCGTAGTTTTGAGTAGCTTTCACAACCTACTACGCTCTCACCACTCTTTCCCTGGAATCAGCGCATCAAAGAGGGATGAACGATTCCGTTTCAAATTATCAAGAAATAGTAGCCGCCATTCGCGAAAGTCGCGCCAAGGGAGCAGCTGCAAATGTGTAATTGGTGTGCGCGCCCGTCTTTTGCACCAGAACCTGATTCAGCGTGACAATGCTGCAGTGGGTCAAATCAACAGGCTAGGAATTGCTCTGTAGTTCGCGCGATGCCGCGAGTCGGATGTCCTTAAAGACAGCGCCCGCGATGGACTTTGGCAGGTCTCAGGGGTCAAATTTGTTAGAACAGGTGGCCAATGAAGCACTAATCAAAAAAAGTAGGAAAAAGGTGTGGAAGAGCGTGAAATAAGACCCTACGAAATTTAAGGCATGTGGACGAGTTTCGCAGACCTTTGGTGAGTTCTCCAATACACGTCGCCGGCTCGGAACTCCAGAAACTTAGCGTTTATCAATGCCAGCAAGCACTGATAACTGTTAACCAGTCGGGGCGGGATTAACAGGGAAGGAGGCGTCAGCCGGCTGCTGTTGGCTGCCGCCTGCGTCAAATCAATACATTTCGAGCCGCAAGAGTGGGATATCCGCTATGGTTGCGTACTCCGCGTTCGTTTTCATTGGAGGGTTTTTTCACTTTGGTTGATCGCGGACGCTGCCTTTAAACACGGAAAGATTGAGTAGCTTATTTAGTGGTGTTGAAATAAAGAAGACAACTTGTCAAGTGACTCATCTGCAAAGCGGAAATGCCAAAAGGACGTCGGAAACGCCCCTGATGGGACTACTCCAGTCTCAGACAGTACGGGTAAAAGGCCGAAAGACCGCGTGTTGAATCGCATCCAGTCGGTTCTTTCTTCCTGATAGGCCCGTGACTCCGCAAGGGAGTATGGAGCATCTCCCTTGCATGCTACTTGTGCGGTAGCATCGCTCTTGGCTGGAAAGCGTGAAGAGGGTGTCTGGAGAGGGTGTCTGGAGGCGGAGTCACTGGGAAAAGGGAGGTGTCACTGAGGCAACTTTGCGTCATTCCTTTACCTTACAATATTCCGCCGCAAAGCTGGCGGCGGAATATTGTAGCCGCGGACCGCGCTAGCCTACCACACAACCTTTTGCATTTTCATAGGTCATCGCGGACCTTTCTCCTTTAACTATAGGGTGGGGATGGTAAGCTCTTATTCAAGGCAATGCCGATGCTACCGGCACGGTTATCATCAGTCGGTTCAATCCTGGCTTCAAATCGCGCGACGTGACTCTTGGTTTGAACTCAGGATCACCCAATCCGACGCTAAATATACAAGAAAGGTGACAGTGAATCTTCAATGTTGGCAAAGCTTGAACTGTATTTGTGGCTAGGAATCTCCCCGCCCCACCCCCCGCTTTGAGTGCTATAAGAAACATCGCAAAACATCCTGAAATCAAGGTTAGAGCAAGGTAAATAGGGCAAAGAAACAATGAGTGCTCAGTGGGCCGAATAGCTAATGCAAGTTGAAATCAGCCCTTGAATGCGACTGGCTTTGCACTTATGTCAGCAAAGCGTGATAAACCTCATCGGAATGACTGAGTTCTCAAGGCGCTCGAACAACTGTGAAAAACTAAAATCGTAGAAGGCAACTATGCTTTTCAATGATGTTTGCTTGTGTCAATTGTTTTTGGCGTTAGGCTGCGTACATACTTTGCGGGCGTCCACCCGCCTTCCGAGCGTCCAGCAGCGACCAGCAGCGTCTCAAGGGCTTGGGAAGTATAAGTACCGATCTAGCGTCTGCCAGCTCTACCAGCGACCAGTAGCGTCCGGGAGTGGAGTGTATGGGGCGATAGGAAGGTAGCAGACAGCCGGTAGAGTATGGGGACATATTAGTGTAGCAGACTGTTGGTAGAGAGTATGGTGCGATAGGAGGGTACCAAACAGCTGTTGCCCTCCTTTTACCCCATACTTTCTACCAGTAGTCTGCTACGTCGCCGGTAGAATCTGAAGGTACGACGCTGTAAACGCTGACAGACGCTAGAATCGGATTAATTCCCCCCCCTTTTATCTATACTTTCTTAGTCGCTGAGGTGCCAGACGCTCGGAACGCTCGTGGACGCTACCGCCAAGTATGAATGCAGTCTTACGTGGCTTGGTATAAGGAATTCTGATAATGGTATACAATTTTTTCAGATCTGCCGGCGTCGTACGTCATAGCATTGTGCCTGGCGTCCATACTATGCACAGCCACTGCATCTCTCGGTGTTATTCATATACTCTATATCTCAGTATACATTACACAATCAGATAGACGACTGTTCATCGTTTATTTAGCTAGCACAGCCCCTGTAAGTCTCATTTTCTTATCGACTTGGGTCTCTATACTCGATACAATGCTTTTTAGTTCGTTTCCATGCTTTCGCTGGTCGCAATGTTCATGCCTCGAGTATGGTTCCTGTCGCATCTCATAAGTTTTCTGTGAGTTCAAACTGGCCTTGCCACTGGTAACTTGCGAGACAACCCACTTACATGTTCTCACTTTCTTACTCACTTATGACTCACACAGCGCTCTAGAAGTGCGCTCCCCAATCAGACTTCTGGGCAATGAAGTACAAATGTGAATATGAAGTAAAGTAACTTAGCAGTGAAGAAAAAAACAGAAGGAGTCGTAAAAAAGCTGCGAGTAGGACCCTTCTTGGTTCTGTGGGTGAACTGCACACTCGCCTCCGTAGACGTGATCCTTGCCATGGTGATTAAACGGGTTATTGCAAGACTGGACGGCAAGCATGCCACTCAGCGCGAAAAAACAAAAAAAAAAACGCGGGAACGGGCTGGAAGGTGGGGGGGGGGGGGCGGCGAAAAAAAAAATTTTTTACCGCGCCCGGGTGCCGTCTTCATGCACTGCCGCACGGCATAGCCACAGCTGCCTAACCAAGTCAATACGCAGCTACTTTGTCTTGGCTCCGATCTCTCTCTGCTTCTGTACAACGCAATTGCTGCACATTGAAGGATAGGCGCGCGCGCGGAGTATGGAGACGAGCACCGCGTATCGAAGTGTCGTAACCCTCCATTCCGCCTTCGCATTAACCATCGAAGGGACACTTAGGCACAGCGAATATGCGTTCATAAGATGGAACGACAAGGGTGGAGATCAATACCAGGGGCGGAGCTCCATAAGTGGCAGACCTCCGGCGTCCTTATCGCTTTTTGCGCCGCGAAATTGGCTTTTGCTATTGTCCGGACCGCATAAGCGCCTTGTGAAAAAGGCCGATATTACTCTTTTGCATGATTGGCACGCTCTGCCTCCGAGGAAATTCAAAATCACATCCCGCAAAATGTGAAGTATGTAGCTGACACATAGCTACTCCTTTTTGGCATGGTGATTATCCCTACACAAACAGTGAACCAACTCTTCTCTCTTCTGAGTACGTTGATTATCGAGATGAGTTGGATGTTCAGGTATTTCTCCGTTGCTCTGTGGGTCATCATCTGTCTGCTTATGCAGATTTTCGAAGGACATCATTCGTTAGTAAGCAAAATGAGTGAGCATCTACAGCATATCGAAGTGGCAACTCCACCGTTCATGCACTGTGTCTTCCGCATGGCCTTGCCGAAAAATACAACTTGAGAGGTGAGTTACGCCAGATTATTATGGCGTCTATTTCTTTCTGATGACCTGACATTTCCAAATTGAAAGCTTACAGCTCGTTTCACTCTGACAAACCCTCTACTGCCCCCGAACGATGAACGAATTAGGCTGCGTTTATACTTATGCGGCAGCGTAGCGGTAGCGCTTCCAAGCGTACGCGCAGCGGCCTTGGCCAGAACAGGTGGTGAAACGCTGGAGAAAACGCTGGCGTACGCTAGCGTGCCGCTAGCGTACGCCAGCGTGCCGCTGGTGACGCTGGTGAAGCTAGATCGATATGCATCCTCTCTCGGCACTGCCGCTGGCGTACGCTGGAAGCGCTACGCTACGCTGCCGCAAAGTATAAACGCAGCCTTACCTCCCAACGAACACCATCGTCTGAGTACAATTTTCTTTCTTCGACCCAAAAAGAAATCCCATCAAGCGGCGGTATAGTCTTGTTCGCTGCGGATGATGGGCGTGTCAGCGCGGATGACGTCGTGCCTAACGCAGCCATGCGGACACGCCCCATCATTCGCAGCGAATCAGACTGTACAGGGAGCCTCTGAAAAACCAATTATCGCCTTACTTCCATTGAACTTTTCCTCGCAAACAAGAGCTAAATTATCTCCTCCCTGCTTCAGGGTCATGCACTCCAAAACTTTTTCAGATCAGTGAGCCTTTGGTGCTGACGCAGTGGGTGACTTTTGGCAGGAAAACGACCATGTCCTATCGCAACTTTCTGCGCTCTGCCACCAAGGGAGCTGTTGGTGCTGTTGTTAAGAACGAACTGAAAAGGGCGTGCGAAGGAAGAAAGGAGCGTGGCTTCATCCAGCTCATCGTTTCCCCCCCCTCCCACCCTCCTACATTAGCGTTAAGGTTCTAAGTGCTCAGAATGATGCATTTTGGCTGGACCACCCAATGGTTCTGAGCATTGCTTACCGAAATATCCTATACTCGTAACACGTGACTGCTACCACAGCCTTGTACCTGATATTGATGAGACAGCAAAGATGCCGAAAGCGCTGATTGGAGCTGAAGATTTGTAAAGCATTTCTCATCGATCAGCCCTCTTTTGGGATGCGCCATGCCTTCTCTTTCCATTCAGAACCGTAATGAATAAACTTTTGAATGTAGCCATTGAATGGGTTATGCAATGATTGCTACGGCAGTGGATGTGCACCTCCTAGCCAATGCGCTGCTTTCATCACTATATCCTAAAATCAGGTATGACATTGTTGTTTTTAGCAAGAAGGTCAGAATCTGTGAATGGATGGTGTTACAAGCCCCATGCGTACGATTGTTCGCCACCCTTGGCAGTCTGGTAATATATTTCGAGTACCAAGACAAAGGATTAATGTGAGTTATCAGATTGCCCACGATATTATTCCACTGAAAATTACACACTTCCAGACCTTTGAAAGTACTTGATTTCATCACTCTCCCATCATTACTGGCTGGCATCTACGCCACTCACATTCTTGTGACAACTGTGTCCCGTCTGGTTCGTTGTTCGTTCGTTACTTCGTTCCCTTCCACTTTGAAAAACGTCATTTCCAGGATGAGCTAATTTCCTACCGTTACATTGTGGTCTTTCGGATTCTCGATCTTTTCTTCATGTTCTTCGGTCTACAGCAACCTATTTTTGACATCCTCGCTAGATATGGGCTTTTTGGCTGCGGAACTGTTTTACCAGCCATAGAAACATCATTTTGTGAGTCGTAATTTTTACTGATTATTTAACACACTTAATCCATCGTTTTTGTTCTGCTTGTCATGTGGATGGGCGAACCGTTCGTATGAAACCTGGATGCCTGGCAGGGCGCTGTTGGGAGTCCCAGCGAGCGGAAGAGAGCGGTCGTATCCGCATCTGAGGGAATGATTGCGTCTGTTGACTTTTCTCTGTTTTTCCTTTTTCAAATGCGCTACACCCCCCCCCCCCCCCCCCCCC